AAGCTACTGATCATGGGTGACTTCAACCACAAGGAAATCGATTGGGAGAGCTTGGAGCCACATGGGGGCCACGAAACGTGGAGGGCTAAGATGATGGAGGTGGTACTGGAAAACTTCGTGTACCAACACGTAAGGGACACTACCAGAGAGAGAGAGAGGAGAGGATGAACCAGCGAGACTGGACCTAGTATTCACCTTGAGTAGTGCAGATATTGAGTACATCACATATGAAAAACCCCTTTTGGCTAGCGATCATGTGGTTTTATGATTCGAATTCACAGTAGAGTTACAAGTGAAGGGGGAAGCAGGAAGAGCCGGAAGAATGAAGCCAAACTACAAGAAATGGGACTACGCGGGAATGAGACAGAGAACTGGCAGGGAAGTCAATAAACGAGATGATGGAATATGTAACAACAATATGCAAGGAAGCTGAGGAGAGTTTTGTACCCAGGGGAAGCAGGAATAATGAAAAAGCCAGGATGAGCCCGTGGTTCACCCAAAGGTGCAGGGAGGCCAAAACCAGTGTGCTAGGGAATGGAAGAAGTACAGAAGGCAAAGGACTCAGTCGCACAGCCAGAAATGAATATGCACAGGTAAGAAGGGAGGCCCAACGACAATATGAAAATTACATAGAAGCGAAAGCCAAATCTGACCCGAAGCTGTTGTACAGCCACATCAGCAGGAAAACAACAATCAATGACCAGGTAATCAGGCTAAGGAAGGAAGGAGGAGAGCTCACAAGAAACGACCGTTAAGTATGTGAGGAACTCAACATGAGATTCAAAGAAGTGTTCACAGAGGAGACAGAAGTGACTCCAAAGGGACGGAGAGGTGGGGTACACCACCAAGTGTTGGATACAGTACACACAGCAGAGGAAGAAGTGAAGAGGCTTCTGTGTGAGCTAGATATCTCAAAGGTTATGGGGCCGGATAACATCTCTCCATGGGTCCTGAGAGAGGGAGCAGAGGCACTTTGTGCACCCCTAACAACAATATTCAACACATCTATCGAGACAGGGAGATTACCTGAGGTATGGAAGACAGCAAATGTAGTACCAAATTTTAAAAAAGGAGACAGACATGAAGCACCAGTGTCACTGACATGTATAGTATGCAAAGTCATGGAGAAGATTATCAGGAGAAGAGTGGCAGAACAAATAGAAAGGAATGAGCTTATCAACAACAGCCAACCCGGTTTCAGGGACGGGAAATCCTGTGTCACAAACCTACTGGAGTTCTATGACAGGGTGACAACAGTAAGACAAAAGAGAGAAGGGTGGGTAGATCGCATTTTCTTGGACTGTAAGAAGGCGTTTGACACAATTGCACACAAGAGATTAGTGCAAAAACTGGAGGACCAGGCAGGGATAACAGGGAAGGCACTGCAATGGATCAGGGAATACTTGTCAGGAAGACAGCAGCTAGTCATGGTACGCGGCGAAGTGTCAGAGTGGATGCTTGTGACGAGTGGGGTTCCAGAGGGGTCAGTCCTAGGACCGGTGCTGTTTCTGGTATTTGTGAACATGATGGAAGGAATAGACTCCGAAGTGTCCCTGATTGCAGATGATGTGAAGTTGATGAGAAGAATTCAATCGGACGAGGACCAGGCAGAACTACAAAGGGATCTGAACAGGCTGCAGGCCTGGTGCAGCAATTGGCTCCAAGTGCAAGGTCATGAAGATTGGGGAAGGACAAAGAAGACAGCAGACGGAGTACAGTCTAGGGGGCCAGAGACTACAAACCTCGCTCAAGGAAAAAGATCTTGGGGTGAGTATAACACTAGGCGCATCTCCTGAGGCGCCCATCAACCAAATAACTGCTGCAGCATATGGGCGCCTGGCAAACCTCAGAACAGCATTCCGCCATCTTAATAAATAAGGAATCGTTCAGGACCCTGTACGCTGTGTACGTTAGGCCCATATTGGAGTATGCGGAACCAGTTTGGAACCTACACCTAGCCAAGCACGTAAAGAAACTAGAGAAAGTGCAAAGGCTTGCAGCGAGACTAGTCCCAGAGCTAAGGGATATGTCCTGCGAGGAGAGGTTAAGGGAAATCGATCTGACGACACTGGAGGACAGGAGAGATAGGGGGGACATGATATCGACATATAAAATACTGAGAGGAATTGACAAGGTGGACAGAGATAGAATGTTCCAGAGATGGGACACAGCAACAAGGAGACGCAGTTGGAAGTTGAAGACACAGATGAATCACAAGGATGTTAGAAAGTATTTCTTCAGTCACAGAGTAATCAGGAAGTGGTACAGTTTGTCAAGCGATGTAGTGGGAGCAGGATCTATACAAAGCTTTAAGAAGAGGTATGATAAAGGTCATGGTGCAGGGAGAGTGGCCCAGTAGTGGCCAGTGAAGAGGCCGGCCAGGAGCTATGACTCGACTCCTGCAACCACAACTAGTTGAGTACACACACTTTCCAGCGAGTTTCTTAGCAATTCTATTCCTGTAGGATTTCTTTTCCTATTTACTAGTCTAAAAATTTTCCTCAACAGACTAAATAACGAGAAAGAGAAGACTGTGGACTGTGTAAATTGCTAATTCTAACCAAGTAACTAATTTATCTGTAAATACGTAAATCACAAGGATGTTAAATAACTGAACAAATTATTATTATAATAGTTATGCAAGAAAAAAAGTCTGAAACTCTGTAAAAGTTATTAATGAAAATTACTTTTATGTTAAATTAAAGTGAAACTGTTTATCGGTGAAAAGTTAAATAGACGTTATAATGAGGTTTATGTTTAAATTCTCAGCATTAAGACATTAAATTCTCAACTCTGAAGCATTTATTTCTTAGCATTAAATTTTAAACATAAAACCATTAAATTCTCAACATTAGGACATTAAATTCACGGGTTTAGAACATTAAATTCTCGGGTTTCAAACATTATAATCTCAATATTAGAATGTTGAATTCACGGTTGAGGTGCAAAAGGAGATTATTCTCTCTTTCTTGAACATTTTAGTTACAATGTTTCCGGTTTGATACTCGTGTGTACTGCACGTCAACATTCACACTTACTGAATATCAAAATGGTATACAATACCGACAGGTATTGTATACCTGTCGGTATTGTATACCAGGCAACTTTAATCCGAAACGTTTCGCCTACACAATAGGCTTCTTCAGTCAATTACAGAAAGTAGGAAGGAACAGTAGAGATGTGAAGACGATGTAATCAGTCCATCACTCTTGAAGTCGTAGATTTGAGGTTGTCAGTCCCTCAGCCTGGAGATTACATCGACTGAAGAGGCCTACTGTGTAGGCGAAACGTTTCAGAATAAAGATGCCTAACTGTTACATGTGTGTCTTACCTACCATTCACACATACTGCAAGTCAACATTCACTCATTCTGCAAATCAACATTCACACATAAATGCAGTGAGGACCTTTATGTGTGCAACGATTTGGCCAACATTGGCCTGCATCGAGTACCTTTGTCGCCATCTTTGCCATTGTCTCCAGCCAACATTCCCGGTGAATGAGTTGTCTTCTGTTACAAACTTAATGTTAGTCAAGCTTGACTCACAGTGGCTTTCCACTTTTCGTTGCTAATTGGATTAACTTTGATTTAGAAATAAAAGAAGCTAATAAAAGAATAAAGATGTGTTTTGATAAAATTGATTTTTTCTAAATTTTTTCGTGACCTGTATTTCCAAATTTCTTTTAGATTTATTTTCCTAATTCCTTAAACATTGGCTTATTATTTATGCTCTTCCATATATTATTTTGGTTAAACTGGTTCCCTGTTAAACTAAGGTAATATAACAATCTATCTTACGATGATTTAACCTATCATATTTTAACCTAGCCTAATCTATCATAATTTTACCTATTCTAATGTAACCTAACCGAGCTTGTCCTAAGGTAACTTAACCTAACAAAAACTAACCTAGAGTATGACTCACGAAATGGTAATGGCACGATTGCAAACAAACCATACCACGGGCGGGGATAGAACCCGCGATCAGAGTCTCAAAACTCTAGACCGTCGCGTTAGCCACTGGACCAGCTAGCCACAATAAGATTCGTCCAACTAGGTATATTTCTACACCATAGGAAGGTTGGCATAGGCACCTCTGTGACCACAAATGCAAGTTTTTATGGACGAATCTCCAGCTAGCGTGGCTGTGACGAACTCTAGCTCAAGTCCCCTCAAAGCCGTCACGGCCACGCTAGCTGGAGATTCGTCTGTAAAAACTTGCATTTGTGGTCACAGTGGTGCCTGTGCTAACCTTCCTATGGTGTAGAAATATACCTAGTTGGACGAATCTTATTGTGGATAGTTGGTCCAGTGGCTAACGCGACGGTCTGGAGTTTTGAGACTCTCTGATCGTGGGTTCTATCCCCGTCCGTGGTATGGTTTGTTTAACCTAGAGTATATAGAGAAATCGGCTGAAATCATGTATAAAAAAGTTGATAATAATAATAATAATAATAATATAATATGTTTATTTCTACAAGTACATGTACAAGGTATACAGTCCTAGCTGACATCAGTGACATACTACTATATAGAAAGCCATTTATTGCAGAGCATTTCGGGCATATTAGGTCAGTTTTGCCCCAGGAAGCGACCCACACCAGTCGACAAACACCCAGGTACCCATTTTACTTATGGGTGAACATAGACAGCCGGTGTAAAGAAACACGACCAATCTTTCTACCCTTGCTTAGAATCGAACCCAGACCCTCGCCGTGTGAAGAGAGAGCTTTAGCCACCAGGCTACGTGGCTCCGTGCTTTCGATGATTTCACAGGAAGTCTTACAGCACAAACCTTCCTCACAACAGTGTGAATTATACTTTGTGTACAGTTAAGAGACCATAACCGAGCTACATAAACAAGAGTGTAGCGTCTGTCAGCGGGAGAAACACCGCACTCTCTTGAAACCGCTGGACTTCATGTGTTTAATTTAGATAAGTAAGACGCAGGTACAACAGTTAGGTAACTTTATTCTGAAACGTTTTTCTTACACTCTAGGCTTCTTCAGTCGAGCACAGACGGGGCAGCAGAAACCATAGATATGTAAAGACGGTGTAATGAATCTATCACCCTTCAAGACGTATACGTCTTCAAGGAATTGTCGGTATTGTATATCATTATTATATTCATACTTATTTTTAAGGCCGGGTAACAGGTAGATGATATTGTAGCTAAAGAGAAGGGCTGTGGTAAGAGTGTCGGTACTTGTGTGTGTGTGTGTGTATGTGTGTGTGTATGTGTGTGGGGTGTGTGTGTGTGTGTGTGTTGTGTGTGTGTGTGTGGTGTGTGTGTGTGTGTGGGGTGTGTGTGTGTGTGTGTGTGTGTGGTTTGTGTGTGTGTGTGGATATCCTAATAAACGCAGTTAATCTGAATACACCATAAAAATACTGGAAGACATCTTTGTTTAGTTTAAAAGAAATCGGGAAGGTATAAAATATTGCGGAATCGCTTCCAGGTGTAATACACTGAAGCAAGCTATCCCTGGGCATACCAGGAAATATTCCGAGTGTTTGTGTACGGGCGCTGGGAAGGTAACGATACCGTTGATAAGAAGTGCTGTGAGACGGTGGTTGTTGCTCCGTTAGTCGCATCTGTCCGAGTTTATTGGCTTCCCGCTGTGTGAGCCTCTGGCTGTGTTTTCCTAACAGTGTTTCGAGTGCAAGCTTACGGTATACACACTCATAAAAAGGAATACATCTCAGCGTATTTGTTCACTCAGAGTTGACTTTATCTGTTAACTGTGTTAGGGATTAATGGGGAGAGGCGACCTGAATCCTACAGTCTGGCCGTGGCGCTGTTTCCAAACAACGGTACTCGCTCGAATGGTAAACACGGCCGGAGGTCTCACACCTTATTGTTAACCCAAGAATTAAGTTTATATAAACTTTACAATGAAACACTGAAGTATACTGAACATTAGTTGCTAGATGGATCAAAGTTCTGATGTTTCTGATGTTTGCTAGACATCTGAGCCCCTGCCACATCTCGTCTAGAAGCGTCCAGGCATTAAGTTTGGGTTATTATTATTATTATTATTATTATTATTATTATTATTATTATTATTATTATTATTATTATTATTATACAATGTCTGTGACATGGGAGATAATTAAGGGTGATGCATGGAAGGGAAGGGTCGATCCAATTCCTTGCATCAGACGCCCTTCGTAACATCAAGGCACTCGCGGAAAGTGCCTATGTTCGGAGCCTTGCAACTGCACGGGTGCCTGAGGTGTAACGGATCCTTCTTTGGTTAGTCATGAGAGTGTTAGCTTGTTTAGTCACAAGATTGTTAGCAGGGTTGGTCGTGAGATTGTTAGCACAAAGCTTCACTACTGAGGTCTCACACGGAATATTCCTCGTGTTGTAATGGATGTGGATTTTTTTGTGTAAAGTGACGTGGAAGTTGTTTGTAAAAGTGACGTGGGTGTTGGTGTGCTGTGACGTGGGTGTTTTTGTGTAAAGTGCGTGGAGTTTGTAATGTGACGTGGATGTTTGTAAAGTTACGTGGGTGTTGTTGTTTAATGTGAGTGGATGTTTTTGTGTAATGTGATGGATGTTTTTGTGTAATGTGACGTGGATGTTATGTAAGTGACGTGGGATGTTGTTTTTTTGAATGTGATGTGGGTGTTGTTTGTAATGTGACTGGATTTGGTGTGTAAAGTGTGTGGGGTTGTGTTGTTTAATGTGACTGGAATTTTTGTGTAATGTGACGGGATGTTGGTGTGCAAATTTACGGGGTGTTTGGTGTGCAATGTACGTGGATGTTGTGTAATGTGACTTGGGTGTTGTTTTTGTAAAGTGACGTGGGGTGTTTTGTAAGTACGTGGATGTTGTGTAATGGACGTGGAGTTTTTGTAATGTGACGTGGATGTTGTTTTGTAAAGTGACTTGTGCTTGTTGTATGTGTATTGTGACGTGGATGTTGGTGTGTAATGTGACGTGGATGTTGTGTAATGTGACGTGGATGTTGCGTAATGTGACGTGGATGTTGTGTAATGTGACGTGGATGTTGTTGGGCAATGTGACGTGGATGTTGTTGTGTAATGTGACGTGGATGTTGTTGTGTAATGTGACGTGGATGTTGGTGTGTAATGTGACGTGGATGTTGTATAATGTGACGTGGATGTTGTGTAATGTGACGTGGATGTTGTTGTGCAATGTGACGTGGATTTTGTTGTGTAATGTGACGTGGATGTTGTGTAATGTGACGTAGATGTTTTTGTGTAATGTGACGTGGAATTTTCTTGTGTTGTGTAATGTGACGTGGATGTTATTGTGTTGTGTAATGTGACGTGGATGCCCTTGTGTTATGTGACGTGGATGTTCTTGTGTTGTATAATGTGACGTGGATGTTCTTGTGTTGTATAATGTGACGTGGATGTTCTTGTGTTGTGTAACGTGGATGTTCTTGTGCTGTGTGATGTGGATGTTCTTGTGTTGTGTGGCGTGGATGTTCCTGTGTTTGTGACGTGGATGTTCTGTGTTGTGTGACGTGGATGGTCCTGTCTTGTGTGACGTGGATGTTCCTGTGTTGTGTGACGTGGATGGTCCTGTGTTGTGTGACGTGGATGTTCTTGTGTTGTATGACGTGGATGTTCCTGTGTTGTGTGACGTGGATGTTCTTGTGTTGTTAATGTGCGTGGATGTTTTGTGTTGTGTGACGTGGATGTTCTTGTGTTGTATAATGTGACGTGGATGTTCTTGTGTTGTGTGACGTGGATGTTCTTGTGTTGTGTGACGTGTATGTTCCTGTGTTGTGTGATGTGGATGTTCTTGTGTTGTATAATGTGACGTGGAAGTTCTTGTGTTGTGTGACGTGGATGTTCTTGTGTTGTGTGACGTGTATGTTCCTGTGTTGTGTGATGTGGATGGTCCTGTGTTGTGTGACGTGGATGTTCTTGTGTTGTATGACGTGGATGTTCCTGTGTTGTGTGACGTGGATGTTCTTGTGTTGTATAATGTGACGTGGATGTTTTTGTGTTGTGTGACGTGGATGTTCTTGTGTTGTATAATGTGACGTGGATGTTCTTGTGTTGTGTGACGTGGATGTTCTTGTGTTGTCTGACGTGGATGTTCTTGAGTTGTGTGACGTGGATGTTCCTGTGTTGTGTGACGTGTATGTTCTTGTGTTGTGTGACGTGGATGTTCCTGTGTTGTGTGACGTGGATGTTCCTGTGTTGTGTGACGTGGATGGTCCTGTGTTGTGTGACGTGGATGGTCGTGTGTTGTGTGACGTGGATGGTCCTGTGTTGTGTGACGTGGATGTTCTTGTGTTGTATAATGTGACGTGGATGTTCCTGTGTTGTGTGACGTGGACGGTCCTGTGTTGTGTGACGTGGATGTTCTTGTGTTGTATAATGTGACGTGGATGTTCCTGTGTTGTGTGACGTGGATGGTCCTGTGTTGTGTGACGTGGATGTTCTTGTGTTGTGTGAATTAAATTACTTGAATGTTGCGGAAAATTTCAGACTCACATATAAGAAATGTCTTAAAAAAAGGCTCACGAGTTTTCCCTTTGAAAGTGTAATAAACATTGTTCAGGGGGAGAGAAAAAAAAAACCCACATGTAAACAAAACTGACGTTTTCATTCTACTGAAAAGAACCCCAGTTGGAGGTCTAAATATATATATACATTACCAATTTGGTTCTGTAAGGCAAAAAAGACTCGTGTAAATGTTCTTGTGAAATCCCTCGCTTTAAGTACCCGTGATAATAATACTACATTATCTTACTAAAAAGCCATTTTGAGGTATAATTTAGACACGACGAGACTGGCAGGATATAATTCAACACGAACCAACACTAGTTAATGAAGGGAATGTTAACAAGAGGAAAAGGAAATTACAAAAGTGCGGGATCCGGAAATATTCAAGACGATGCTAACAGGAGATGATGCTGCTAATGACGGGAGATGATGCTGTGATGCTGTTACTGATCGGAGATAATACAGATAATGTTAAAGGAAGATGCTGCTCACGAGAGATGATGAATGTAAATGATTCTCTTGACAGGAGAAAATGCTAACAGATAGTGCTGCTGATGCTGCAGATGCTGCTGCTAAGTGATACTGATAGGAAATAATGCTTACAGGAGACGATACTAACTGGAGACGATGCTTACAGATTATACTAACGAGAGATGATGATTTCAGATGATAATGGGAGATGATACTTGCAAGAGATATTACTAGCGGTATATGATGCTTCTAAACTCGAGGAATGGATGGGAAATAATCCCGCTACAAGGCAGTCCGAAGAGCACGATGACAAAGATCGATCATTACCCACGCCTTGCTTACAGTCATTACCCACGCCTTGCTTACAATCATTACCCACGCCTTGCTTACAGTCATTACCCACGCCTTGCTTATAGTCATTACCCACGCCTTGCTTGCAGTCATTACCTAGGCCTTGCTTACAGTCATTACCAACGCCTTGCTTATAGTCATTACCCACGCCTTGCTTGCAGTCATTACCCACGCCTTGCTTACAGTCATTACCCACGCCTTGCTTATAGTCATTACCCACGCCTTGCTTACAGTCATTACCCACGCCTTGCTTACAGTCATTACCCACGCCTTGCTTACAGTCATTACCCACGCCATGCTTACAGTCATAACCCACGCCTTACAGTCATTACCCACGCCTTGCTTACAGTCATTACGCACGCCTTGCTTACAGTCATTACCCACGCCTTGCTTATAGTCATTACCCACGCCTTGCTTACAGTCATTACCCACGCCATGCTTACAGTCATAACCCACGCCTTACAGTCATTACCCACGCCTTGCTTACAGTCATTACCCACGCCTTGCTTACAGTCATTACTCACGCCTTGCTTACAGTCATTACTCACGCCTTGCTTACAGTCATTACCCACGCCTTGCTTACAGTCATTACTCACGCCTTGCTTACAGTCATTACTCACACCTTGCTTACAGTCATTACTCACGCCTTGCTTACAGCCATTACTCACACCTTGCTTACAGTCATTACCCACGCCTTGCTTACAGTCATTACTCACACCTTGCTTACAGTCATTACTCACGCCTTGCTTACAGTCATTACTCACACCTTGCTTACAGTCATTACTCACGCCTT